CCCAATTTACTTCTGACATACAATATATTAAAGGCCATGCTAACGAAGTAGCAGATGCATTATCAAGAACGATGATTAACGCTCTCATCCAAACCGACATCGATTATCACAAACTAGCAGCATTGCAAAATATGGATGTAGAGCTAAATAGACTAAGATCATCCAATACAACTTCTTTAGTACTTCGAGAAACTCCATTCGGCAAAGTAAATATAACGTGTGATATTTCTACAGGCAGACCACGACCGTTTATTCCGAAGCCGTTTAGACGAAAAGTTTTCGAAACTATGCATAATATATCACATCCTGGAATTAAGGCAACGATCAGTCTGATCAGCGACCGTTTCGTATGGCCAAATATGAACCGAGATGTTCGCAACTGGACACAGGCATGTATTAAATGCCAGAAAGTTAAAGTTCATCGTCACACAAGTTCCGCAGTAGGTCCATTCCGTCACCCAGACAGCCGATTCGAGCACATACATATCGATATTGTGGGACCACTGCCGATTTCGAATGGCTTCAGTTATATTTTTACCTGCATAGACAGATTCACGCGATGGCCTGTAGCGGTGCCCATAAAAGATATTTCAGCAGAGACCATAGCTAAAACCTTAGTCGAACATTGGATCTCATACTATGGAGTCCCTGCTCATATCACAACCGATAGAGGAGCCCAATTTGAAAGTCGCCTCTTTCAACAACTCACAGAGCTCCTCGGCATTAAACGTATACGCACAACCTCCTACCACCCGATGGCAAATGGTATGGTAGAGAGATTACATCGACAACTAAAAGCATCTCTTACAGCTGTTATTAACAACAATGACTGGGCCAACAAGCTTCCATTAGTCATGTTGAGTTTAAGATCGACGGTTAAAAGAGACATAGGATGTTGCCCTGCAGAGTTAGTTTACGGAACTACCCTACGTCTACCAGGAGAGTTGTTCATCTCAGGTAAGATTGTTCCAACTGATATAACTAACTACGTACGTCGTCTAAAAGAACACATGAGCGATCTAAGAATAACGCTTCCGCAGGAGAATCAACATCGAGTATATATTCCGAAGCAACTAAGCGATACCTCCTATGTATTTATCAGGAGAGATTTTGTGCGACGTCCCTTACAACCGACCTACGATGGTCCTTTCAAAGTTATCGACAGAAACGATAAAACTATCACCGTAGATAAAGCTGGAAAAACGGATGTAGTTAGCATCGACAGAGTCAAACCGGCTTTCGTTGAAGGCGAGGAACAGCCAATAAACGCAAACCCATCGAAAGCCATTGAATCACCGAAATGCGAGCTTAAACCCTCTGAAGCAGCAACACAGAAAACAGAAGGAAGCCCACCAACGACCAGATATGGACGAAGAGTCAGGTGGCCGCAAAGATATATAGCTACATTTTTGAACTGATAATTCTTCTCACCATTTCGAACACATTTTTTTTGCTTCGCATCTGTACGTCGGAAATTCTAATTTATCTATTATTGCCTTCGATACATTTAGTGTATTTCGAAATTGAGATGTTACCCTAAAAACATTGCTATACTTTTGTTTGATCTTCTATTCCTTTGCGACCTCACGAACGTATGCGAATAGAGTAACTTTAACTTCCGAAACTTTCAATGTTTTCCGACAATTTTGATTTTTTTTTCTCGCAAACAAAGACATTTTCGTAACCTTGTTTGCTGGAAGGGGGCTATTGTAGTGCCTCCACATATATTTCAGTTCTCTCACATCTAACTTGGTTAAGCCCTTTCGATTAATTTATTTAACCAAGCCATTCGCTTAACAACAACTTATATGTACCATTGGTATTTTTTATTATGTGGTTTGTATGAGCTAGTATGACTGAGCATTGCTTAACGCCTACGCACATATTCATCCTATTCGCTTTAATATTAATCTCTTCAATACTACGATGACTCAGACATTTTCCTTTGTATATATACGAACATTTTTATCTTATTAATTCATTCGCACATTCGCATATTCGCTCACTAGTCTGTCTGTCCGGTCTGTCTGTGGTCTGCTGTTATTAATTGTGGTGTGCTTCAATAAACGTATACGCTACTTGGAATTCATCTTCTGATTTATTAACCGTCAGACGTCAATTGGATAAAAAGAGCTACTCAAAGTCTGAGGGCGAAGTCGTACTGCTGACTGTAGAGGGGTTTGACGGCAGTAAGGTGTTTCCCTCGGACAACTAGCATCTGCAGAGTTAAGGGCTAACCAATAAAGGCTTTGAAAAAACGGATCTAATACTAAAAACACGTTTGATACATAGGCCGTGCGTGACAGGCCTCAAGCACTCGTCCTTTGAGCTCTGCGGTCAAGGTCCCACGTCGTTATGACCAACTCTAATCTACCTTCTTTTCAAGGTTCCTCAAGAAACACCTATCGACAGTGTGGTCAGCCGGGAAGTGACAACCGCCCTCATTCCCATAACAGCACGCGAGACCGAACCGGTCAAAACCAAATCATACCTAGACCGCAAACATATCTCTTATCTCAACGACTTACTCTACTCACATTCTTTGATCACACCGTACCACTAATTCAAACGATGCGAGTTCACGAAAAGTTATTCCTGGCCTCCCGAAACCCCGTACTAGACTACATGTTGGAGCTTTCAATGTACGGACATTGTGTCAAATAGGGCTACAGGCTTTCTTAGCTAGGATATTAGAATCTCGCGCCATAGATGTATGCTGCGTCTCAGAAACGTGCATACAAGATCCTGGTAAAGTCAATAATCTGGTTCACCTTGTCAAAATAAAGAAGCAACTCGATTTACTCTTCGCGTTTCTGGCAGCTTTGATGCTGCATTCCGGGGTCGCTCTGGCATAACTATAGCATTTTGTTCTAGGGTTTAACTAGTTATCCTAGAATGTATCCCAGTAGATAGCCGATTAAGCGCTGTCCAACCTCACGGGACAGTAAGAATCCTTATACTTGCTCTCAGATTCAGATCATGCCCAAGTGAGAGCGCCTTTCTGCTTGGGGCTCACTGGACGTAGGAAAGTCACCGTAAAGAAAACCTATTAGGGTTCTACTTAACGATAGTAGGACTGAGAGTTTATTTCAGGAACAACTAGAAAGACAGTCAAGGGACAATATAAATGATTCGCAAGTCAATATAAGTTTTCCGAGTCTTTACGAAGTTAAGTAAGCTAAGGGATATCTGAAGTGAGCGCGTGCTTCAGAGCCTGACAGACTTATCCCTGAGATTTTTAAGGATAGTGGTCCTGTTTAAGAAGTGAAATTGACTGTGATCTTAAGAAGGATCTGAGAACTGAATGTAATCTCGTCTGACTCGTGAAGACCGAACTAGAAACAAACAGGCTGATTTTCAACCTGGACGTAGAGGTATAGACCAAATATTCACACAATATCAGGTCCTAGAACATAGAAACACGTTTAGACGTCTCAAAACTGTAGTATTACTCGACTCGAATGATCGTGAATTTCTGTGGCATTGTCTGTCAGTTAAAAGTGCACCAAAGAAGTGCATTAACCTTATTTTTGCTCTCCAATCTATCAATACCGTTCGAGTGAGAGCTTATGGCGAACTGTCATCGGAATCGGTTACTTCAAGTAGTATCTGTCAGAGTTGTTTACTCTTTTCATTCATTTTTAACTTTGTCATAGATATGCTTTTTAGAGTTAGCAACATCATCGTCTGACTTTTCAGGAGTGGACCTTGTAACAGTACATACGCTTGCTGGCTTAGATTATGCTGATGACTTGGTGAAGACGACAACGAAATTCAGAATTTTCTGACTACCCTAAGTTACAATGCAAGCAGGTTCGGGATGCGATTTTCTCCCCTCGAAATGTAAAATGTTGCTCAAAGGTGGGGTTGTATCCGGTAACTGGACTAGTGACAGGGAGTGAAGTAGTCGAGCTTGTAGACCGCTTTACTTATCTGGGGAGTCACGTCACAGATACAGAAAGCTCGATCGGCTTTCGCCAACTTACGTCAACTATAGCGCACGCTCGATATCCATTCGCTAACCAGAGTGTGAGTGTACTGCGCATCAGTTCACTCTGTCCTACTATACGGATGAGAAACATGGTAAGTGAGATTGGAGGACATTTGTAAGTTGCTTATCTTCCATCATAGGTGTCTCCGAAGCATCGCTCGTATATACTGGGACAACAAATTAAGCAATACTGTTTATAGAAAACGATTACGACGTGAGGATGGCTTATCAATTGATGAAGTGTTGAAAATTTATCGGTTGATATAGTTGGAAAGTGTGTTGCGCATGCCTAACCACCGACTATCTCGTCGAGCTATGTTTTATGGTGTAGGAGTAGTGGGTTAAAAGAAAACCTGCGGCTGGGGAAAACCAAAACATGGCAGACAACCATGAAGTCAGTGAGAAGTGGACTGAGTCATATTGTTAGATACAGGCTATCTGGTTGGGGTCTGCGAGACGAAAGAAACCGATGGTTAGAGACCTTGAACGATATGACTGGAAATCGTTTGTGATGGCGCAGGTGCATTCACTCTTTAGGCTCTCTCAAATTCTAATCTTCTGAATTACCGATCACCTCTCTCCTTCTCTTTTATAAGTCATCTCACTGAATTATACTTTTTTAATTATATTTTATAACCCTAAAATTCTACATTACTGCTGAAACTTCTACTATCGCTACCACTTTTGGATTTGAACTAACAGTAGCGACTCTGTGCTAATGCGGTATGGCAATCTGAACTTATGTACTCATGTACGAAGCTCTAAGTTGTAACTGACTGACTAAATGACTTACACATATTAACAAAACGCAATCCTTTTTGAAAGATGTTAATATGACTTATTTGCGAAACATTCATACTACATGTCAAAACTACCGGTGTTGACAACGATTTATTAAACTTTGCTTCTGAGCTAACCGAATTACACATCATGTAGCACTAGCAGCCTTAAGAAACCGAGGAGCTTTTATTGATGCTTGATCCAGTGTTTCTTTCACTATCTTCCCTGCCCTGCCTGCTGAGTTGAAAATAGAAGTCAACTTCTACTACACAAATAGTGTTTCACAAGCGGATATAGTTTGTATACCGGCATAGGTGGTTGCAGCAAGCTGTGTAATGAAAATAAAAATTACGCGTGAATAAGTCAAAAGTGGTTGTTTGTTGTACATAGTATAAGAAATGAACTTTCAATCAATCAGTAAGTAAGCGAAAATGTAGTACTTGGTCTGTATGTACATCAGTTCAAGTTGACATACCAAATTAACCAATCATGTTTCACAGCTTATCGTACTCAACCAGAAAGAATAAATGTTTGAAGAATTTACGGTGAATCGTAGTCTACTCGACCACTGAGCATCAATGGTGATTTCCTTTCAATTAAGTAAATAAGAATGTCAACACTTCTCTGTCGTTATTGCCACGGTTACGAATTGATGAATGTTGTGTTTTGTGAGAATAAGACAAACATCAATTACATTCAATCAATCTGAAATTGTCTGACATCGGTGCAGTTCATCTTTGCTAAGCTGTCAGTCTGTGACCGACTGATGTATTGTTGAAATGCAATTTATAAATCTTTGTAATATGTGCTCAAAATTTCTACGATACTCAGTTTGCTTTCTTGAGAGTGTCATCAATTCTCAACTCATACATAAGGATAGTAATAATACAAAACAGAAACAGCTTTCTTTGACATAACTTTGTTAGCAGTTAGGAATTCTCAACATCACTTGTACAATATTAAGATTGATGTACATTTCACTTGCTTCCAAGCTAAAATTATTTAAGATATATTATTCGAAAACTAATTTTTTCCACGGTCACAATCTTCCACGAATGCTCAATCATCGAAGTATCCTATTACAACCATCCTTCTACAACCACCATTTTATAATTCATCAAATATCAGATGTTTGAATCTCAGTGAATTTGTTTCTAGTTTACAGAATAACGAATAAGACTTGATATTTGCTATTATTTATGCTATTCCTGCATGACGTTTTCAGTAATTATTACTATCAAACATTGAAGCCTCTTATAAGACCTTATGAGTGAGTACACAAGTTAGCGTCCATAGCCATTTAGCCACTGCAAGTCCAAGTCAGTTGGATTGATTGCTTATATATTCACAGTTGGAAAATGGTGATAATTTACGTAATGAAAATGTACATCTTTTTCAATGTTCACTTCAAATGGACAAATTTTCATGCATTGAACTAGCATTAGTATCAGACGAATGAGAATGATCGATCGATATTTCTTTCTTAATTAGTAAAAACACTTATATCATTGTGTTACAGCTCGCATTTAAACAGTTTTTTAGAAATAACTTATCCAATGATGGACACAGCTTCATGACAGCTATTAATCAGTATTTATGAATATAGATCCTTAATGATAGATATGACAAGAACTTTTGAAAAATTATTTGATTCCTAGTGGAATGCCGTATACTATTTCTCGGTTGTATATATGTTCTGTAAGTTATTCGTCATCGCAGAATTTGAATCTACACACAGATAAAATTTCATTTTGATATTTCTTCGACTCTTCGATCGGTGCATTGTTCAAATTTAATAGTGGATTAACATCATTCTTGTTATTTAGTGTAAGCAACCTGAAAAATACAATAAAGCAAATATTGATCGATAAAATTCTACTCAATAACTTTGAATAATACAACGAGAAGATGAAGGTTATCAGAGCGATGTGATATTTCAGAGTAATAATAATTCAACTAGTCTAGCTACACAGATACTTGTTCTTGACTGTTCTATAGGCGGACCATTGGAACGCGCTTGTTTCCCAGTCATTCGAATAGGTCAATGTGTGTGTGTGTGTGTGTGGTTACGTACCTAATGATCCAATAAAGTCACAGAAAAGACAAGTCGCTTCTTCTATTGTGAAACAGTTGGCTGAGACTGATTATGGGATAAATATCAAGTATGCCTTTGTATTGCTGCACAAAAGTGTTCAATGGCTTATACATATCTTTGTAGTGCCTCCACATTTATTTGCATCCGCTTACATTTAATTTGCTTAAGCCCTTTTGATTAATTTCTAACCAAGCCATTCGCTTAGCAACAACTTGTATGTACCATTGGTATTTTTTATTATCTGCTTTGTATGAGCTTATACGACTGAGCATTGATTACGCCTACGCGCTTACTCATCCTTTTCGCTTTAATGTTAATCTCTTAATTTGCCCATGAACTTACATGATTTGTATCGCTTGTCATTTGACCTTGTCAATCATTCGTCGCTTTTATCCATGTCTGTGCATGCCTATTTCGCTTGTCATATGTCTGTCTTATTCTTATCCGACTTTATATTCTTAGTCATGTTCTATCTCTTTGAGTTGGCTCTTAGCCTTCTCCTATTCGCTTCGCCCATTCGCTCGCATTGTAATCCAAAGAGTTGGCTCTTAGCCTTCTCCAATTCGCTTCTCCGCTTCGCTTTGTGGTGCCTCGAATAAACGTATTCATCAATACGAGTTCATCGTCTGATTTATAAACCGAGCTTAAGAACACGCAATAAATAGGCACACTACATCTTCATGGATGCCTTTACGATACGAAAACTAAGACCATCTTTATGTGATCAAATAGATTTGCCGGTGCACAAAATCTCATGTCTTATACAGCGTGATTCTAACTTCGCGTACTTTCTTTACCTTTCCCTTCTAATTTGTGTAGTTCACCTTTCAATTTTCTGTACACAAAAATTTTTAACAAGCATTTGTGTGACCAGATTGTTCGAATTAAATTGTCTAAATACATGATGTTTTTCTGATAACCGTCATCTTTTCAGCGTATTATCCAAATATATCTGGTTATCTTGTAATTGATTACGCTACAATAAACTTATAAGAAGTACATTTATTAGAGTTTTATAAAATACTTCAAGCAGCATAAACAAAAAATTCATAATTTATACGGATTGAATAGTTACATAGCAAATTAATGTAAACCGAATTCCGCTATCATACCAGTCTAATTATTCAATCAGTTAAATCATTACTTACTGGGATAGTTTGGTGCCTATTAAATGTCAAGTTCAGTTTACCAACACACTGCCAAAGACTTCTCCAGGTACTGAAAGTAGAGCGATGTCTCTGTAGTTCTCACACTTTCTAAGGTGTCTTTGTCCTTCTGGTATATTGTCGAGCTGTTCTTCTTTCAGTCAGTTGGTACTTGTTCCACATCCAAAATCATGCTGAAGCGAATGAGGAACATCTTTGCGGTCACCGTAAGTTTTTCTTTCAGTGCTTTCGCCAGCAGGTTGTCAGCTCGTACTGCCTTAACTATCTTGAATAATCTAACGGCTGCGCTAATCTCTTGATTCGTTGGTGAGTCAACATAAATTTTCTTTTGTCATTGCTAGATCTTTCAGTTCCTCTCTTCGTTCTTACATCCTCAATCGTCCTTCTGAACTTTTCAATAATGCAGATTTGATAGACTTGGTTCTGCGTAGTGCGATCAGGTGAAACACTTGTAACATTGTGTATGCATTTATGTGGGAATATGGTGCGGTCCATAATCATTCTGTTTGCAAATCACTCACCCTTTTTGATTCACTCTCCCAGTCCATGTCGTCCCATGATGTTTTCACACTTAGTGTTGTCCTATACAATCCTGACGATTGGGTCTCCCATCAGAATGGTCAGTTCCCCTGTTGGACAGTCTCTCATAGGATGTTTCTGTATCATCCTCATGGAATGATTGATGTCGTTGACAAAAAGAACATGTTCCTCGGTACGTCAGAAGAAACTAGGCTTTCATCATGAAGCGTCAAACCTCTTCTATTCGGAGACCTTCCAACTCTCGAGGAACAGCTTAAACCGTTTGAGTTGTATATTCTGGTTAGCATTTTTTATCAAGTTGGTTTTCTACGGGATGGGGTCATGAAATACATGCACAAACATTCTACTTTATCCGGGCTTAAGACTGGCGGTAACCCTAAAAGTGCTCCAAGCAGAGTTGCGTTCAGCTATCACAGATTAGAGAGGTCAACCTGGTTAATCATTCCGTTAGTGTTCTAAATCACAGAGTGAGGTACTTTGCAGAGATGTTGAATGATGCTGATATATAAAGTCTGCACACTGATTTCTAATGATCGAAATCTTTATCATCAAAAAGATAGTTGCTAATACATAATATCACCACTTATTCTTCGTTAAATAACCATTGAAAACGTGGAAGCTCTGCACTGACAGAACACACACGCAATGTGCATTCGTGATCCTATCGGAGAAAGAAACCCAATGGATTTCAATGTTCAAGCGACAGCCTAATCTGTTGAGCCAATCGACAAAACTCTTTCATATAGATTAAATCAGTAGTGTTTAAACAGATTGAAACATACGTTTTTTCATTGGATTTTTCATCGTCACTCTCATTTTCAATTGAACACATTGAATTAAGTTCTGGGAAACGTTTAGTCCATTCTTGAATATCTTGCTCAACCAATTCTTTCATAGACTTCGATTCATTTTCATTCAATGAATAACCACTGAATAATTCGTTTCCATGTAAAATATTATCATCCTCTGGAATGTGATGATATTTTGAACAAGAAACTGAAATGAAATTGGTTGCAGTTGTGAGAAAAATGTTGACAAGAGTTGAAATTCGTTAACCAATGGATCTTAATTCGTCAACATTAAAGTAACTTACAGATAGAGCTTAAAGTCAGTTAGTCAGTCAAAAACAATGTAGAACTTACTACGTGCGCATATCAGCACAGACAGATGGTATCGTTAGTTCAAATCTCATAGTACTTGAAGTTCAGAAGTATTATTGGTAATGAAAAGGATTAGGGATCAAATATATGATTCAACAAGTCTATCGGAGTGAAATTAATTTAAAAACAGAAAAAAGACAGTCACGTATTCAAAAGATTAGAATTCGAGCGTAGACAAAGAATGGATGCAACTGAGCCTTAATGAGTGATTTTAAGCCTTGCCATTCAAAGTCTCCAGCCACGGGTTTAGACTGTTTAGACGACCACAACTAGGTAGCCTACACCTAATAACATGGCACACTTCAGTTCTCACTGACGCCTTTAGCTTTTGTCCAGCCTACTCTAACACTAGGCAGCATCGCGCGTCGCGGCAGTCGTTGGTTAAGTGTAGGTTCAAAAACTAGGGGCGTTTTTTACTGTTCACTGCAGAAAAACAAGTATGCTAGGCAAGACGTAACAGAATAATTGTCTCAAGATCACATGTATAAGGGGATATGCTAGATTGTCAGAAATCACTTGAAAAACTACTTAATTTTCTTATTTATTCATGGATTTAAAAATTTCTCATTCTCCCTACCACAACACCAACATGGTAAAACTCAGTTGCATAGCGACTGAGCCACTGTCAGTAAGCCAGTTGTCATTCAAATGCAGATTAAAAGATTTGATAATAAACTGTTTTAATTTAAAATAACAGTCTGTAACTTAATTCATTATTCTACATACATCGTTGCATTTACTGTTTTATTTTAATCTGATCAATCGAAATGGTACACTGAATGCTTGAATTTATGTAAACATCGTCATAGTGTAGCATGCCTCCACATATATTTCATTTCGTTTACATTTAAGTTGGTCAAGACTTTCGATTAATTTATTTAACTAAGCCATTTGTTTAACAATAACTAATATGTCTCATTGGCTTTTATTATTGTCTGGTTTGTATGAGCTGGCATGACTGAACATTGTTTACGCCTACGCGCATATTCATCCTATTGACTTTAATGTTAATCTCTTAAATACCGCAATGACTTAGATATCTTCCTATGTATATATATGAACATTTTACTCTTACTAATGCATTCGCACATTCTCTCGCTAGTACGCCTTCCCGGTCTGTTTGTAGTTTTCTTAACTATTTGTGGTGTGCCGAAAATGTTCTCAAATCATATGTCTAATCGTGAGTATCTTCTTGTCTTCTAGTCAAGGGCATATTATAGGTTGAGTGTATAAACACACTCTGTGGAATTGACGCTAAACATTACCAACCAAATATGAAATGAAGTAGAAAAACGTTCATTAACTTTCCACAGTGTGCATGTTTTCGTTTCGTCATATGCTAGCACTTTCTGATGAGAAAGAAACTTCGTAACTGCATAAACTATAATCACTCACATTTTATTAATGGTACTAATGGCTTATGCATATTCGATGATGAACTCCATTGACTGAGAATACGATGATTAGGTGCTTGATCCAGATTAATTAATACCGTATCAACATAGTCTGAGTTGTTTGACAGACTTGAACAAACAATACTATCATTGCATACATTGAATGGATTGATTGAATCGACTAGTGTATGAAAATAATCATTCAATGTAGATTGATTAATGAATGTTACTGGCAGATATTGATTCTATAATTTGAAGGAAAATGAACAAATACATAATGTAGGTATTGCAAAATGTATCAATGACAATTGAATACATTGTAAATTATTTCAAAAGTGGAACAAAGACAAATCACAGAGCAATAGAAATTGTAATTATGCTATAGATACTGATCGTTTAAAACAATTCTTACTAAATTAGTCAAAGTTCATTCTCTTTCGACTGTGTTTAGCGCGTATCGAACAAATGTACCTACTATAAACAATTGTTCGTCCGATAAAATGCTGTGTAAAATCCTCATACAATTAATTTTTGTTCACGTTGCAGTGTAAATGTCTGCTTAGAGTGTGAAGTGATTTCACTTTCAGGAAGAAAACACGACTGGTTAAAATAGCAGTATTCATTATCGAAACTAATTGTACCAGTGAACGTATAACCTAACATTTTCGTAAATTCGTACTTTTGTATCAACCTTTCCTTCTTCGTGGTCACTGCTGCTCTGTAACTTCGCTCATTAATCTGGCAGATTTTGGTATTCTCTTGAAACCATGTATTCGCCAGCAAATACACTTATTTCATCCGGACTATCCAACTTTCGTTCATTTTAATACAAGACTTAAGGGTTTAAGTATGAAATTATTTCAGTCAATGATTGCGATGTGACTTTTGCGCAGAAAATCCCTTGTTGCTTACGAGATCTTTAATAATGAATTTATTGAAGAGTTGTGACGATGAAATTCTAAGAAAGCCATGGACGCCTCCATTTCTGTAATTAAAAGCAACACGTAAAATTATCTATGATCACATTTTCACTTAGACAGCTCACTCATTGATGATGCTAAATGGACTTTCCAGAAACTGTGGATTCCCAGAAACATTAGCCACAACTGATTGATCCCAGTTCATATCGGAAATCTTCTCGAGCTTCTATTTAAAACGGATCGTCAAATCCCAGATACAATAACTGTGTACATGAGAATCTACAGACAGTGGGGGCCGTACGTGGGTGATCCGGCTCTGTGCATGATTACAGTTCCCAATTTACTGATTAACTGTCGTTAAATCTTTTACCATTCTTAATTTCTTAATTACCAATTATAAACCTGGTATTCAGTTCTGTATTGTAAATATCCAAGTTACGTTTATGAGGTGATTTGTTCCGTAAAGTGAGTTGTGATACAGTTATCGTATGGGATTTCTCCGAAAATTCAACCTTGGCATATTGTGTATCTTCGCCAGTATATTAATCGTGTGTTTCAGAGGTGGAGGAACATTATCACTGAGTTAAACGAGGAGTAGAGTATTAACTACAAACACTGCAACTAACCTGAAGTACCAACTCTGTATTTTAAAGAAACTAATTTATTAATATTATCATTATAACCTATCAATAATTCAATACATGATGACTTACATTTGAGTAACTATCAGTATTCATGTTTGATTTCGGTAGTGAATGCATGCATTGGGGTAAATGTATTATTGACTGATTAGTAGTATCATTGAAGACTGTCAACTCAGGTTTTAAATCATTTATTGACCCATGAATACCAGATAGTGGAGATTCAATGACCTATAAAACAAATCAAATAATTATTACTATCATGGAATAAGAATTACAGGCAAATGTAGAATGTACTACTTCATATCCCATCCATAAGTAGTAGTTGTGCTTACATAAAAGTAGGAACAACTGAGGTGAATAACTGACACAGAGATACTGACTGAATTAATTTAGCGAATAGAATTCATGTGTTGCATATTGATACTTGATCATAAAACATTTCTCTTCATTTTTAGTATAATATGAAAATATCACTTCTTCCTTGATGACAAACAATTGCTTTCAGATATTATTTTAATTTGCAGTAGGTATTATTAACAAACTAATTTCAATTGAAGTGACATTTGTGCTCAGCGATCATGGTACAAATATTTCGTCCTAACTTCAAACTTCACAGCACTGCGTAGCGATGATCCTAAAGGAATCTCACTCTCCTCACGGTCCAATAAGCGCACCCCTTCAAATTCCAAACTATTGAATTCACAAACGACTTCTGATTACGATTTTATCATTTCGGCAAATCGATAATGAAAAAATGTTTTGATTGTCCACTGAGAGTGATTTCCATACGATTATTTAATCGGTGGATAGAATACGCATTATGGAAATCGTCAGACTGCATCACAAGGCGAGACAGAATCCTCAACATAGAATGTAAAAAAGGTTGGAGAGGAGATAAAAATAAGTGAATTGTACTTGGTAACAATTAGAAGGGGGCGGTCCAGGACAGAGTTGGTTGGAGATTGTTGGTCGGCAGCCTATGCTCCACCATAGGTTGCGAGAGTAATCAGGGAAGTAAATTCTGTAATTAATGGTGCTTTTACAAATTAAAACCCTCATTCCCTTTGTTTCTGTATATTTTTATCACTTAACATATAGATACTACAATTTTAAGATGTAGGCAAGTATTTCAAGAACTATTCATATAGACTATTCTCAGTTATTTAACAGACAATATTATTGAAAGTGATGCTACATTACTTAGATTAGCAATCCACATTGACTGAACCGATCGATAGGATTCAATCAACAACTAACAAGAACTAAACAAATCCAACATTTACTACTCAGCGGTCATTCAATTAAATCAAGTTTACTATGTTATCAGGAGATTCATCAATTCAAATATCCTCCTTCATTAAATTAAATAAAATCACTAAGCAACAGATCAGTGAATACTGCTGCAATAGACTCATTGAAATCAGCTTGTAATTAATTTCCAGTTATACCACAATGATACCTGTGAAGTAGATGACAATTGATTCTGTTGATTTTGCCGTTTGATTGATAATAATTCGTCATAATTTATATCCATAGGTATTAGCTTTGCATAATCCATAGCTGTATTTAAATCAAATTTGTCTATTGTATATCTCATTTCATATTGTTCCAGTGTGATAGGTACATCAAATATAGGCCAGTAATGTTTGGGTGTTGCAAAAGTATTCGATAACTGATAAAAATTATATGTACATGTTATTGGAAGTGAATGATGGATAGACTGAATTGGATTACTGTTTAACGCTGGTATATGATTTGTTTTGGTCAATTTCTGATCACAGAGTAAATAATTGCGTTCTGACCAAACTTGATGATGAAGTAAGTTAGTCCCACAATCAGATAACACGAAAGGTTGAATAGACTTTCCAATGTCATATGGATATTTTTCCTCTGTTGCCTGTTTCAACGCTGCGAAAAAATTGATTATAAAAAAAATAATGTCTTGCATATTTTTAACATGTATACTTGAACACATAAAAAGGTACTAAAAGCCTAGAATGTCTCTATTCATAGTGTAAATGTCCTAAACATTTAATGAGTTGCAGCAGAAATAGCTACTTCCTCCTGTATGGTGATCATCATGGCTGGCTAATGTGTCAGTGTCTTGAACTCCTAGTGATGTAGTTTCATATGATCCATTACTAATAGCCTTAGAATTATCTATATTCTGAATAGTTACGTTGATAGGTTCGGTTAATTTCATACAAAAGGTTTGAATCGCATGTACGTCTGTTCTCCATACTGACTTAGTAGGTGCACGTTTTGTTATTCAGCTGCAAGCCTAAACTACAATAGTTACACTGATAATAAAAGCCGATTACTATCACAATTTTTCCATCAAGTACCGAGGAAAAAAAACACGGCAACATGCAAATAAGTTGATACATTTACTTAGATCCTTTGAGAAACAAGTAATTAACTATGAGTTTTATGCTGCTTTAACAGCTGTCACTAATTCTTTCCATGGATCAATACACTAGACAGGGTATTGACGGGCTGTCACAACGCACAATACATAAAAATTGTACAACGTCAGGTGAAAGTGTGCACTCTCTTTAACTGATACACGTGAATTACTCAATTAGATAGCAGGTTGTTCTAGGTTAAGATATAGATCTTTCTCAATAATTATCAAGGTTAAGACACAGTCACAATCAATGAAGAGATCAAACTTATTAGAATCTCGTTACTATTTAGTCTGGTATAGAAAAGAAACAAAATTCACATCTTTGATCACAGTTTTACGATAAAACTGGAGTAGTATCTCCATACTGGATAAGTAAAATTCTACTTTGAATTGTTCTGCTTGAAACCAAAGTGTGCAATTATTCAAAGTTATTCCTATTTGATCCTGCCAGGAAAATTAGTTCGTCTCACAAAAAATAATGTAAACTCTAGTTGATACTGCACTTTCTAGCTATCGATTTCCGAATTATGTTTTTACTTGAATCTTTGTTACTCGAGAAATCATTTCTAGTTTTAGACAATACATACAAGTGGAGATGTTATCCGACCATCAAAAAACCAACATTGGTAATGATGTTTTTGAGTCTACTTACAATCATTGAAAACTATTGCACCCAACTGACTATAAACTATTGTGATTCCTAAAAATTTAGAATCACATACTCTGCATTCATTCATTTACCAGTCAATTTATGGAAACAAGTCACGGCACCTCAAACTTTCAAATAATTATCACCAATGACAATCACGTTGATAATTTATCTGAGATTATCATCACATATATTCCTATATACCAAAGGCAACTGTTTACAAATGAAGAATGTTCAACCAGTGGACTACATTCACGTCCTAAACGTAGGCGTGTACTTCAATTCAGTATGAAATCGCTATGTCATTTTTGTGTTCATAGTGTTTTCAATAGGTTTGGTCTTTCATAGGTTGATGAAACGGAGAAAGTGAAAGAGTGAGAGTAAGCAACCTTGTTAGACGCCGCTCCTCACTTGGAACGAGTTTGATAATTGTATACTTATGTTTCTCAACAAGATTATTTGTATCAAAGCTTACAGTCATATACAAGTCACTAATTAACCTAAGTGCAATGCCGAGCCACTAGTCAACATTGTCAGCACACACTGAATGTCTTTTTATCGACATTGATTCGTTTATTTACAAAAGATATTCGATAAAATAATGTAGGCAAAGTCTAGTTGGTAAATCAAGCAGCGAAACAAAGTCGATCATTTTCAATTACAGGCTGAAATTAAGAAATAATGAAATTAAACATTTCTCTGAACACAGATTTGTGTACAATCATCATGCTTATCAAATTGTCACATAAGAAGCACTGAGAACTATGATTGAATCGAAATACAGAAATATGTTTATTTACTAATCTACGAAGCCGATTCCAATCTTAGTATTAAGACAGAGTAAAAACTAGAAATCAACGCTAGCCGGTGTTTGCTTGATATTTTAAAGAACCAGTAATTTACTATTTCATGAGTTCGATACACAATCTATCAGACGTTGATGCTGTGACTTTGTGTATTCAAACTTTTGAAAACGTGGAAGTACTGGGTAGCAGTTTCGTGCTGTTATGAAACTGTTGAGCAGTGTACATCCACTGCATCGAAACTACATCCAAACTATGATCAGAGTTCGTGTAACTTTCTGTTTTGCGGATTCACACTAGAGACTTGATACGGACATCAACTTCCAGGTGTAGAGATACTCAGCTGACGAGTCCCATTCTAAATGAAGCATGCATTCTTCCTGGTTTTAACTGCCAGATCCAGTTCAAATATTTTATAAAACTTTTGAGAAACGAGCCTCATCAAAACAATCATCACAGTACCATATTCGATGTAATATTGAATTTATCTTCAATAATTATTTGAAAAGTATTTCTTTTCTAGCATTTTCTACGTCTTTTCATAGAGAATCAATCAAGCTGTTCGATTTTCCTAATCAGCTATTTCTGACTTTCTTTTTTCACAGTTCACCTCGTTCATGCCACGATAGCAAAGAAAACCTCTTGAAATTATCGGAAACAAATAAGTGTGGAATTAGTGTTGAATTACCTTATTCACTCGCGAAAACTTTGAAATCACCTTCACGAATTACAAAAAGTATAAAAGTGAGTGAATACTTTGCAATATGGATATCAGAGTAGATGTAAGTAAATAAACAAGACTTGAATAGTTATTGTTGTTTGTGTTTCTTGTGTTTCTCAATTTTTATTTTCAGATCTGATATAACACAATTTGTGTTCTCGAGTAACATTTCCTGATATTACTGTTTCAATGCACTCATCACCACGAGTTCTCTTCTTGTAAGGTTCGTCATTAGGTACGCTTGAAGCTATTACGGGTTCACCCTAGTCGATGAACGCGAACGAGACAATTACCAGCGTCCAGGTAGGCTATCTTGATCGGAAACGGAAAAAAAGAAGTCTTGATAAGCGCAGAAATTATATTCTAGAAACACCAAGCAAGCACAACGGATTCAAGCACAAAAATCTCGTTTATCTGTACATCATAAAAACGTCCTTAGGACAGTTCCAAAAATGGCACACTAAAATACACAGCAGCCAATCACAGTCATGGATTTTCCCTAGTGAGAAATGAAATGTCAAGGTCAACTGATCAGCCCATGCTCGCAAACGTAGATCCAAAATAAGGCATTTATAAAGCGAGTTCTGGGGATCTAACGTCCCCAACACTTCTTTCATCGTTTTGTCTATTGAGTAGATTGAAGACATCAATGTTAATTCCTTAATCAAGAATGGATTCAAGGTGACAAACGTGTGACAGATAAAATATAAATGAGCGTGTAAAAAATTATTTTGATTTTGTGTACCTTTCTGTATTTCGTTTAATCAGTTATTCAGTAATTCAGTCATCCAGTAAATAGTTATTTATTTCATAGTCAGTTGTTCAGTCTAGTGAGTTATGAATTTGTACATTGAGGTTAGGCTTTCGAGCACAAGAGCAAAGTTCCCGGGTTTGAATCGTGCGACGTACAGGAGTCGTGGATGTGCACTGCTGATGAGTCCCATGCTAGGTCAAAACGGCCGTCCAGTGTTCCAGATTTCTGATTGTGGTCTAACAATCATTGATTCATGGTTTCAAATGTGTAAAAACACTAAGCTCCATTACTCTAATTGAAAAAAACAAAATATCTCAGTAAGTTAACGTCTCGACAGTCTGTCATGACTCAATCAGAATTATTTGTAGTAGTTGCATTGTGATGTATTGTAAAGGCTTACCAAATAGTTCTTACCATTTTCTTCAAAATTATTTCAATAAATGTAAAATAACTGAAAATATTTATCACCGTTTAATGTTTTCTAATACTCTTGTGTTATATGTAGACTACAAATCGTGAAATTCTACCTGAAATTACATGTCCACATCATTTAGTGAAATTTCTGTTGGGAAGTCATGAAATGTTTAATTCCAGTCAACGGACTAACACAACTACAGATGGGTTGACTAGACAGCAGAAAGTAAGTGTACAAGAATTTGTAGTTACCATTTTCATCATCCTATAAATGATATTTGCCACAGTTTAATGTCCTTTGGAAACAAATAATAAAGATCTGACAAGTTCGTCTATGGAAACCCTCAATAATATGCATGAAGTTGGTGTCCCATGTTCTTTAATTTCTAAAGCCACTTAGGCACTTGACCTGTAGATCACTGAGAACGGTATCTAACAGTTTTAACATCTGATTCTAATCGATCAAGATGTTACGCGATCATCACCAAGTGTCTTCGGCGGGTAACTGCCTGATACCCAGCACGTTTAAACTCCATTGGTCATGGCTTCTAGTTAAAACACCATGAATGTTCTCTCGCAGCTAGTTAGAAGTGAACACACGATTACTGTCATTATAGGGTTATGAAGATGGTTGAGTCTCAATGGTGGTCTAACATTGATCAGTTTATGATTTCAATGAAACTCAACAATATTCGTAACCCTTGACTACAATTTCATATCATTGTTGAATCAAGTTACTGTATGCGATTAAATAAGCAAAAATAACTGATTCGTTTGCTGATATTACATTTAAAAGGGTTTGAAGTTTTTGAAATGACCTACTACTAACGACTTTCCAAGTTAAGTATTTGGTCACATTTACTTGGAAAGTTTACATTCTGTTATACTAAAATAAATGCGTCTATTTCATAAATCCCAATCTCTTGACAACCTTAAATATGTCGTTTGCAACTGACGTGTAGTCTTGGAAAATGAGGAATTTATCTTATTTCGTTAATCTTATGCTTCTCTCTCTCTCTCTGTCTCAGTATGTTATACTGGTCAAATAAAAAGTTCCGTCTAGAAACATTTCAATTGTCTCAAGACTGCATGTACATTGTTTCGCTGAGTAACACATACAATAATGACTGTATCACAGAACTAAATAAAGACCACCATGAAACATGATTTAGTTTATTGTTCCATTGACTAATGATTGGCGTAAAATTATCCCTGCTGTGTACGTTGGACTGACATGAAACAATATGACTTTGATCCTCTGAGTTCGTTTATTATACAATGTTATTTTCTAGAAATTTTCATTCATGACAATAAATTGGAAATTAATACTTTTAAAAAAATTTACTAGTCACACATCCTGTGGAAATATAAAGTCTTAAAAAAGACATGCCGACCGAAAAGGGTTATTCAAAGTCGTTATGTTGTATGTTTAGCTTCAAAAATGAAATTCAATAAACGATAGATTTTTTTCAATTATATTCACACACACACACACACACCATATTGACACTGATATGTGAATTGTAATCTGAAAGCTTGTGGTGATGTTTCGTTCTCTGAGCTGGATGTTTTGGTTGTGGAACTTTCATTGTTCTTCTTCTGAACAACAACATCATCAGCTCAAACTTCAGATAGAAGTGAAGCATTCGAATTTCTCCATGCTTGACCCATAGCTTGTTCTGCGTGGAGAAATTCGAATGCTTCACTTCTATCTGAAGTTTGTGCTGATGATGTTGTTGTTCAGAAGAAGAACAATGAAATCTCCACAAACAAAACATCCAGCTCAAAGAACGAAATAACATCACAATCATCCACGTGAGCTACACATTTTCTCCACTATCTCAATATCTGAAAGCTGTTAGTTATCGTCATCAATTCAACTAAGTCCGTGAACCACCATCAACAATCTTAATTCATTAGAATTCTTTTGACTAATTGTCACAATGTTTGTTATTCTTCACTGGAAATCAAATAGACTCTTGTTTATTGTTTCCCTAGCTGTTGAATATTGATCATCAAGCTTCAATACGAATTAAACAATCGCAGTGCAAGTGCAACTTAATTTGATTTATTCATTCTTATATCCATACATTATTATTATGATTATGATTATGATGATTGAGAATTCGGAATTTTATTGAAAATCATAAATTCAGATTGTTTATCTTTAAAATTGATATTTTCATTATTGATTTTTTTGTTGTGTTAGACTTGTATTCATTTTTTTTTTGAAATAAAAATTCCACATTCCCTTTGTAAACAAACAACTCAGTTACTTACTTTCGAATCAATGGTACATCAAAATATTATTGATGAACAACGTAATCAAGTTAGATGGCAGTCAAAATTAGGCGATAGTCCATTGTCACCAGATGAACGTGCAAAAATACTTGATGCACGTGAATTGACTTGGAAAGAATATTATGTAAGTTGATATGATTTATACACTGTACTTATTCTTGATTGACATTGACTAGTAAACCTTTTACGTCATCATCTTGAGTGGAATAAACGTGAATAATTCTTCATTCTGGAAATACATAATCACTAGTAATTACGTTAAATCTGAAATTGTTTTCTATCAAAGTTATGTTAAGTGGATGAAGTGTAGTGGTGGAAAAGTGCACACCTTAAGCTTAGATCCAAACAAAGTTTATGGTTTCCGATGACCTGATTCGATACTTTATATTTCGATGAATGAGTTTACTCTTACTCTCCGATGCAAGCAGCGACTAAGGAAGTTTTGAGTACGACGATTGTTGGTTACTAAAACATCAGTTGAATGAACCCGATTCACCATCAACCGTTTTAAGTATGAATGATGTTAAGATTCACAACTCACGTGATTTCACTAGGGATATACTAGAATATCAGTTATTACCAAATTTGGAACTACTGGACAACCCTTTACCACAAGCCTCATTTCAAATCTTACATACAGTCCGAAGATTTGTCCCGATAGGATTGAGAATGAAGAACCTGTATACGACAGAAGCCATGCTCTCCATCAGTTCTAACCTAATCTTCACGTAAACAAACATAATGTTCAGTTGCTTATTCTCTTATATATAGTCCTAAACCGCCTTTCAATCATTGCATAATCTATGAGATGCTACTTTGGCTGTAATCGTATGCGTGTTTTGTTGTGGTTGTTTGCTTGACCATTGTTGAATTATTGAACCTGATCCATTCCAATTATTTCGCAACTATGAATTACATCATCATCATCACTTCCGTTCGTTCTGCTTATAAGAAATATCAAGTGGACAATTATCGTTACCTTTCATTAACTGGTTATTATTGTTTCACAACATGATACAGCTTTACGTTCACTGAATTAGTATTTTACACCATATTTTCAAGTGTAGGCTAGTATTTTAGATAAATTAACTATAACTAGGATTGTACAGCTTGAGTAAATAAAATCGTCGAGAAGAGAAACTTTTCTTTGCTGAATTACCATAAGGTAAGAAATTGAACTATTTACAGAGCTGGTTGGTAAAATGTGTTACATACACCCACCAGCTGGTGCCAACTTTGACGCACAGTATTGTAGGCAGGGATAAGTTTGCAGGGAAACGATTCAATAATGATTACTAACCAACGGTCAATACTCCAGCAGAGGTTATTAGCTGAATGATATCATTGTGATCAGTGTAACATTCAGTTAAACTATCTACCATCACGGGTGTATATATATAGAGAGAATCTAACGGTAAAATGAAATTCTTGAACTGAGATCCATTTTGTGATGTATAATCAATAAGTTTTCAATTGAACATCGATAGTATTTATCATCTTATATTATTTTGAACAACAAGAAAAGAAGTACACATCCAGAAGTCTTGGAAACTTGCAAATATCACCCATTGTCACCATCATCAATCAACTTCAGCTCGAGTAGAGAGCATCATATATTATCTGAATTTCGTCCACACCGTCCAGTGGAACCGTTTAAAAATTCTTCGACTATTGGATTAGAAAATAATCTTCAGCCAAAATTTCATTTAGTTGAATTCACCGAATCGAAATGGTTGCATAAACAAGATATGATTGAACAATTTCGTTCAACAGTATCACGTATAATCATCAAGCAAAGAATGATGAAACGGTTGAAAAAATTAAAACAAACAATAATTTCTGATGAAAAAACAAGTAAATACTAGTTTCATTTTATTACATAAATATTTATCTTTTGCATATTGCTAAAAATTTCTTCTCAATAATAATATCTATGAAAGACCAAACCTATTGAAAATATTATGAACACAAAAATGACATAGCGATTTCATACTGAATTGAAGTACACGCCTACGTTTAGGACGTGAATGTAGTCCACTGGTTGAACATTCTTCATTTGTACACATTCTGAAGGATTGACTTCAGAGTTCAGTTGCCTTTGGTATATAGGAATATATATGATGATAATTTCAGATAAATTATCAACGTGATTGTCACTGGTGATAATCATTTGAAAGTTTGAATTGCTGTGATTTGTTTCCATAAATTGACTGGTAAATGAATGAATGCAGAGTATGTGATTCTAAATTTTTAGGAATCACAATAGTTTATAGTCAGTTGGGTGCAATAGTTTTCAATGATTGTAAGTAGACTCAAAAACATCTTTACCAATGTTGGTTTTTTGATGGTCGGATAACATCTCCACTTGTATGTATTGTCTAAAACTAGAAATGATTTCTCGAGTAACAAAGATTCAAGTAAAAACATAATTCGGAAATCGATAGCTAGAAAGTGCAGTATCAACTAGAGTTTACATTATTTTTTGTGAGACAAACTAATTTCCCTGGCAGGATCAAATAGGAATAACTTTGAATAATTGCACACTTCGGTTTCAAGCAGAACAATTCAAAGTAGAATTTTACTTATCAAGTATGGAGATACTACTCCAGTTTTATCGTAAAACTGTGATCAAAGATGTGAATTTAGTTGCTTTTCTATACCAGACTAAATAGTAACGAGATTCTAATAAGTTTGATCTCTTCATTGATTGTGACTGTGTCTTAACCTTGATAATTATTGAGAAAGATCTATATCTTAACCTAGAACAACCTGCTATCTAATTGAGTAATTCACGTGTATCAGTTAAAGAGAGTGCACACTTTCACCTTACGTTGTACAATTTTTATGTATTGTGCGTTGTGACAGCCCGTCAATACCCTGTCTAGTGTATTGATCCATGGAAAGAATTAGTGACAGCTGTTAAAGCAGCATAAAACTCATAGTTAATTACTTGTTTCTCAAAGGATCTAAGTAAATGTATCAACTTATTTGCATGTTGCCGTGTTTTTTTCCTCGGTACTTGATGGAAAAATTGTGATACTAATCGGCTTTTATTATCAGTGTAACTATTGTAGTTTAGGCTTGCAGCTGAATAACAAAACGTTCACCTGGTAAGCCAGTATGGAGAACAGACGTACATGCGATTCAAACCTTTTGTATGAAATACACCGAACCTATCAACGTAACTATTCAGAATATAGATAATTCTAAGGCTATTAGTAATGGATCACATGAAACTATATTACTAGGAGTTCAAGACACTGACACATTAGCCAGCCATGATGATCACAGTACATGATGCGATAGCTATTTCAGCTGCAACGGATCAACTGTCCATAACATTTACACTACGAATAGAGACGTTCGTGGCTTTTGGTACATCTGTCTGTGTTCAAGTATTCATGTTGAAAATATACAAAACATTATTGTTATAATAATTAACTTTTTTGCAGCGTTGAAACAGGCAACCGCAGAAAAATATCCATATAACATTGGAAAGTCTATTCAATCTATTGTGTTATCTGATTGTGGGACTAATTTACTTCATCATCAAGTTTGGTCAGAACGCAATTATTTACTCTGTGATCAGAAATTGACCAAAACAAATCATATACCAGCGTTAAACAGTAGACCAATTCAGTCTATCCATCATTCACTTCCAATAACATGTACATATAATTTTTATCAGTTATCGAATACTTTTGCAACACCCAAACATTACTGGCCTATATTTGATGTACCTATCACACTGGAACAATATGAAATGAGATATACAACAGACAAATTTGATTTAAATACAGCTATGGATTATGCAAAGCTAATACCTATGGATATAAATTATGACGAATTATTATCAATCAAACGGCAAAATCAACAGAATCAATTGTCATCTACTTCACAGGTATCATTGTGGTATAACTGGAAATTAATTACAAGCTGATTTCAATGAGTCTATTGCAGCAGTATTCACTGATCTGTTGCTTAGTGATTTTATTTAATTTAATGAAGGAGGATATTTGAATTGATGAATCTCCTGATAACATAGTAAACTTGATTTAATTGAATGACCGCTGAGTAGTAAATGTCGTATTTGTTTAATTCTTGTCAGTTGTTAATTGAATTCTATCGATCGGTTCAGTCAATGTGGTTGCTAATCTAATCAATTAAACATCAGTTTCAATAATATTAGCTGTTCAGTAACTGAGAATAGTCAATATGAATAGTACTTGAAATACTTGCCTATTGTCGAAGAACCACTTAAACTACAAAATAATTCGCATTATCTTAAAATTTAAGTATCGTTATGTTACGAGTGTGCTGAATGCTTTCGTATATCAGACTAGAAGATTTAACTGAAGCGAAAATTTAAGGCCAGTTAATGGTCAGTTTTTTCAGATGGTGCACTGTCTTAAGGATTTGAAGGTGTTGAGTTCATTTCTTGATGTGGTTGTAGAGGAGTACTTTCCACAGATGATTTTCCATAATGAAAGAGTCATTAAATAACCCATGGTTTATACCAGTTTTCTCAGTTAAGTCGGTACACTTTGACATAAATTACATTTTCTTAATTTTTTCACCGCAAGAGGTTAAAAGAGTATACAGAAACAAAGGGAATGAGGGTTGTAATTTGTAAAAACACGATGAATTACAGAATTCACCAACCTAATCACTGTTGTGACCTTTACTAGAGCATAGGCTGCCAACCAACAATCTCCAACCAACTCTGTCCTGGACCGCCCCCGTTCTAATTGTTACCAAGTACAATCCACTCATTTTTATCTCCGCTCCAACTTTATTTCTCATTTGATCCTTAGGATTCCGTCCTAGGTCTTGCCTTGTGATGCAGTCTGACGATTTCCATAATGCGTATTCTATCCACCGATTAAATAATCGTATGGAAATCACTCTCAGTGGACAATGAAAACATTTTTTCATTATCTGTTTGCCGAAATGATAAAATCGTAATCAGAAGTCCTTTGTGAATTCAGCAGTTTGGAATTCAAGAAGAGAGCTTATTGAACCATGAGGAATGAAGAATCTGAGTTAGATTCCCATAAGGTGAACACAGCTTACTGCTGTCGAGTTCGAAGTTAGGACGAAATATTTGTTCCGCGATCTATGGTCATCAATGTCACTTCAACTGAAATTAGTTTGTGAATAATACCTACTGCAAATTAAAATAATATCTGAAAATAATTGTTTGTCATCAAGGAAGAAGTGATATTTTCATATTATACTAAAAATGAACAGAAATGTTTTATGATCAAGTATCAATATGCAACACAGGAATTCTATTCGCTAAATTAATTCAGTCAGTATCTCTGTGTCAGTTATTCACCTCAGTTGTTCCTACTTTTATGTAAGCACAACTACTACTTATGGATGGGATATGAAGTAGTACATTCTACATTTGCCTGTAATTCTTATTCCATGATAGTAATAATTATTTGATTTGTTTTATAGGTCATTGAATCTCCACTATCTGGTATTCATGGGTCAATAAATGATTTAAAACCTGAGTTGACAGTCTTCAATGATACTACTAATCAGTCAATAATACATTTACCCCAATGCATGCATTCACTACCGAAATCAAACATGAATACTGATAGTTACTCAAATGTAAGTCATCATGTATTGACTTTATTGATATGTCATAATGATAATAATCATAATAAATTTCTTTCTGTAAAATACAGATATTGCTACTTCAGGTTAGTTACATAACGATATGGCCATACTGTGGTGTGGTTGTAGTTAATACTCTTCTCCTCGTTTAACTCAGTGATAATGTTCCTCCACCTCTGAAACATACGATTAATATGCTGGCGAAGATACACAATATGCAAAGGTTGAATTTTCGGAGAAATCCCATACAATAACTGTATCACAACTCACTTTACGGAACAAATCACCTCATAAACGTAACTTGGATATTTACAATACAGAACTGAATACCAGGTTTATAATTGGTAATTAAGAAACTAAGAATGGTAAAAGATTTAACGACAGTTAATCACTAAAGTGGGAACTGTAATCATGCACAGAGCTGGATTAACCACGTACGGCCCCCACTGTCTGTAGATTCTCATATACACAGTTATTGTATCCGGGATTTGACGATCCGTCCTAAATAGAAGCTCGAGAAGATTTCCGATGTGAACTGGGATCAATCAGTTGTGGCTAATGTTTCTGGGAATCCACAGTTTCTGGAAAGTCCATTTAGCATCATCAATGAGTGAGCTGTCTAAGTGAAAATGTGATCATAAATAATTTTACGTGTTGCTTTTAATTACGGACATGGAGGCGTCCATGGCTTTCAAAGATCTTGTAAGCAACAAGGGATTTTCTGCTACACAGTTTATGGCGACGCGCAAAAATCAAATAGAAAGCATCGACTGAAGTAATATCATACTTAGATTCTCAATTCTTGCTTTAATAAGAATGAAAACTGGAAAGTCCGGATGAAATTATTGTATTACGTGGTATCTATAGAATACCAAAACCTGCCAGATTAATGGGCGAAGCTACAGAGCAGCAGTGACCACGAAGAAGGAAAGGTTGATACAAAAGTACGAATTTACGAAAATGTTAGGTTATACGTTCACTGGTACAATTAGTTTCGATAATGAATGCTGCTATTTTAACCAGTCGTGTTTTCTTCGTGAAAGTGAAATCACTTCACACTCTAAGCAGACATTTACACTGCAACGTGAACAAAAATTAATTGTATGAGGATTTTACACAGCATTTTATCGGACGAACAATTGTTTATAGTAGGTACATTTGTTCGATACGCGCTAAACACAGTCGAAAGAGAATGAACTTTTGACTAATTTAGTAAGAATTGTTTTAAACGATCAGTATCTATAGCATAATTACAATTTCTATTGCTCTGTGATTTGTCTTTGTTCCACTTTTGAAATAATTTACAATGTATTCAATTGTCATTGATACATTTTGCAATACCTACATTATGTATTTGTTCATTTTCCTTCAAATTATAGAATCAATATCTGCCAGTAACATTCATTAATCAATCTACATTGAATGATTATTTCCATACACTAGTCGATTCAATCAATCCATTCAATGTATGCAATGATAGTATTGTTTGTTCAAGTCTGTCAAACAACTCAGACTATGTTGATACGGTATTAATTAATCTGGATCAAGCACCTAATCATCGTATTCTCAGTCAATGGAGTTCATCATCGAATATGCATAAGCCATTAGTACCATTAACAAAATGTAAGTGATTATAGTTTATGCAGTTACGAAGTTTCTTTCTCATCAGGAAGTGCTAGCATATGACGAAACGAAAACATGCACACTGTGGAAAGTTAATGAACGTTTTTCTACTTCATTTCATATTTTGTTAGTAATGTTTAGCATCAATTCCACAGAGTGTGTTTATACACTCAACCTATAATATGTCCTTGACTAGAAGACAAGAAGATACTCACGATTAGACATATGATTTGAGAACATTTTCGGCACACCACAAATAGTTAAGAAAACTTTAAGCAGACCGGGAAGGCGTACTAGCGAACGAATGTGCGAATGCATTAGTAAGAGTAAAATGTTCATATATATACATAGGAAGATATCTAAGTCATTGCGGTATTTAAGAGATTAACATTAAAGTCAATAGGATGAATATGCGCGTAGGCGTAAACAATGTTCAGTCATGCCAGCTCAACCAAACCAGACAATAATAAAAGCCAATGAGACATATCAGTTATTGGTATACAAATGGCTTAGTTAAATAAATTAATCGAAAGTCTTGACCAACTTAAATGTAAACGAAATGAAATATATGTGGAGGCATGCTACACTATGACGATGTTTACATAAATTCAAGCATTCAGTGTACCATTTCGATTGATCAGATTAAAATAAAACAGTAAATGCAACGATGTATGTAGAATAATGAATTAAGTTATAGACTGTTATTTTAAATTAAAACAGTTTTTTATCAAATCTTTTAATCTGCATTTGAATGACAACTGGCTTACTGACAGTGGCTCAGTCGCTATGCAACTGAGTTTTACCATGGTGTTGTGGTAGGGAGAATGAGAAATTTTTAAATCCATGAATAAGTAACAAAATTAAATAAGAAAATTAAGTAGTTTTTCAAGTGATTTCTGACAATCTAGCATATCCCCTTATACATGTGATCTTGAGACAATTATTCTGTTACGTCTTGCCTAGCATACTTGTTTTTCTGCAGTGAACAGTACAAAACGCCCCTAGTTTTTGAACCTACACTTAACCAACGACTGCCGCGACGCGCGATGCTGCCTAGTGTTAGAGTAGGCTGGATGAAAGCTGAAGGCGCCTAAAAAACGTGGTACAAATTCATTACATCATTGACAACGGAAATGTGCCATATTATTAGGTGAAGTCTACCTAGTTGGGGTCTTCTAAACAGTCTAAACCCATGATTAGAGACCTCGAATGACAAGGCTTAAAATCACTCATTATGGTGCAATTTGATCCATTCTTTGTCTACGCTCAAATTGTAATCTTCTGAATTCGTGACGGTCTTTTCTCTGTTTTTAAATTAATTTCACTCCGATAGACTTGTTGAATCATATATTTGATCCCTAATCCTTTTCATTACCAGTAATACTTCTGAACTTCAAGTACTATGATATTTGAACTAACAATTCCATCTGTCTGTGCTGATGGAGCATGGCAACTTGAATTGATATGCGCACGTACCAAGTTCTACATTGTTTTTGACTGACTAACTGACTTTAAGCTCTATCTGTAAGTTACTTTAATGTTGACGAATTAAGATCCATTGGTTAACGAATTTCAACTGTTTTCAACCTTTTTTTCACAACTGCAACCAATTTCATTTCAGTGTCCTATTCAAAATATCATCACATTCCAGAGGATGATAATATTTTACATGGAAACGAATTATTCAGTGGTTATTCATTGAATGAAAATGAATCGAAGTCTATGAAAGAATTGGTTGAACAAGATATTCAAGAATGGACTACACGTTTCCCAGAACTTAATTCAATGTGTTCAATTGAAAATGAGAGTGACGATGAAAAATCCAATGAAAAAACGTATGTTTCAATCTGTTTAAACACTACTGATTTAAACTATATGAAAGAGTTTTGTCGATTGACCCAAGAGATTAGGCTGTCGCCTGAACATTGAAATCCATTGGGTTTCTTTCTCTGATGGGATCATGAATGCACATTGCGTGTGTGTTCTGTCAGTGCAGAGCTTCCCAGTTTCCACTGGTTATTTAACTAAGAATAAGTGGTGATATTATGTATAAGCAACTATCTTTTTGATGATAAAGCTTTTGATCATTAGAAATCAGTGTGCAAACTTAATATATCAGCATCATTCAACATCTCTGCAAAGTACCTCACTCTGTGATTTAGAAAACTAACGGAATGGTTAACCAGGTTGACATTTCTAATCTGTGATAGCTGAACGCTACTCTGCTTGGAGCACTTTTAGGGTTACCGCCAGTCTTAAGCCCAGATAAAGAAGTATATTCGTGCATGTGGTTAGTGACCCCGTCCCGTAGAATACCAACTTGATAGAAAAATGCTAACCAGAATATACAATTCAAACGGTTTAAGCTGTTCCTCGAGAGTTGGAAGGTCTCCATATAGAAGAGGTTTAACGCTTCATGATGAAAGCCTAGTTTCTTCTGACGTACCGAGGAACATGTTCTTTCTGTCAACGACAGCAATCATTCATATAGGTATATGGAATATTCCCGCGATGTGCGAGACCGTAATGACTATTACGGTTGCTGAGGAAATGAAAACATACAACCTGAAGGTACTTTAGAATCACTGAAACACATTGGACGCAGGCTACACAAAAAGAACTCGCCTCCGGATAGATGCTGTCAAAATAAGCTCAAAAAGCACTCATAGAACGAGAATCTCATGGACCTTAAATCTTTATTGCAATCTTCGATACAAATAAATAGGGAATTACAATGAATGTCACTCAGTGCTATGAGCCTATGAACGATAACAATGAGGACGATACAGAAACATCCTATGAGAGACTGTCCAACAGGGGAACTGACCATTCTGATAGGAGACCTAATCGTCAGTATTGTATAGGACAACACTAAGTGTGAAGATATCATGCGATGACATGGACTGGAAGAGTGAATCAAAAACGGTGAGAGATTTGCAAACAGAATGATTATGGACTGCACCATATTCCCACATAAATGCATACACAATGTTACAAGTGTTTCACCTGATCGCACTACGCAGAACCAAGTCTATAAAATCTGCATTATTAAAAAGTTCGGAAGGACGATTGAGGATGTGAGAACGAAGAGAGGAACTGAAAGATCTAGCAATGACAAAAGAAAATTGATGTTGACTCACCAACAATTCAAGAGATTAGCGTGACCGTCAGATGAATCAAGATGGTTAAGGCAGTACGAGCTGACAACATACTGGCGAAAGCACTGGAAGAAAACCTTACGGTGACCGCAAAGATGTTCCACATTCTCTTCAGCATGATTGTGGATGTGGAACAAGTACCAACTGACTGAAAGAAGAACAGCTCGACAATATACCAGAAGGACAAAGAAACCTTAGCAAGTGTGAGAACTACAGAGACATCGCTCTACTTTCAGTACCGGGAGAAGTCTATCGCAGTGTGTTGGTAAACTGAACTTAACATTCAATAGGCACCAAACTAGCCCGGTAAGTAATGATTTAACTGATTGAATCATTAGACTGGTATGATAGCAGAATTCGGTTTACATTAATTTGCTATGTAACTATTCAATCCGTATAAATTATGAATCTTTTGTTTATGCTGCTTGGAGTATTTTATAAAACTCTAATAAATGTACTTCTTATAGGTTTATTGTAGCGTAATCAATTACTAGATTACCAGACATATTTGAATACTACACTGAAAAGATGACGGTTATCAGAACGACATAATGTATTTAGACAATTTAATTCGAACAATCTGGTCACACAAATACTTGTTCAAGATTGTTGCGTACGGAAAACTGAAAGGTGAACTGGACAAATTAGAAGGGAAAGGTAAAGAAAGTACGCGAAGTTAGAATCACGCTGTATAAGACATCAGATTTTGTGCACCGGCAAATCTATTTGAACACATAAAGATGGTCTTAGTTTTCGTATCGTAAAGGCATCCATGAAGATATGTATAAGCCGTTGAACACTTTTGTGCAGCAATACAAAGGCATACTTGATATTTATCCTACTAACCATTCTCAGCCAACTGTTTCACAATAGAAGAAGCGACTTGTCTATTCTGTGACTTTATTGGATCATTAGGTACGTAACCACACACACACACACACACACACACATTGACCTATTCGAATGACTGGGAAACAAGCGGGTTCCAATGGTCCGCCTATAGAACAGTCAAGAACAAGTATCTGTGTAGCTAGACTAGTTGAATTATTATTACTCTGAAATATCACATCGCTCTGATAACCTTCATCTTCTCGTTGTATTATCCAAAGTTATTGAGTAGAGTTTTATCGATCAATATTTGATTTATTGTATTTTTCAGGTTGACTACACTAAATAACAAGAATGATGTTAATCCACTATTAAATTTGAACAATGCACCGATCGAAGAGTCGAAGAAATATCAAAATGAAATTTTATCTGTGTGTAAATTCAAATTCTGCGATGACGAATAACTTACAGAACATATATACAACCGAGAAATAGTATACGGCATTCCACTAGGAATCAAATAATTTTTCAAAAGTTCTTGTCGTATCTATCATTAAAGACCTATATTCATAAGTACTGATTAATAGCTGTCATGAAGCTGTGTCCATCATTGGATAAGTTATTTCTAAAAGCTGTTTAAATGCGAGCTATAACACAATGATATAATTCTTTTTACTAATTAAGAAAGAAATATCGATCGATCATTCTCATTCGTCTGATACTAATGCTAGTTCAATGCATGAAAATTTGTCCATTTGAAGTGAACATTGAAAAAGATGTACATTTTCATTACGTAAATTATCACCATTTTCCAACTGTGAATATATAAGCAATCAATCCAACTGACTTGGACTTGCAGTGGCTAAATGGTTATGGACGCTAACTTGTGTACTCACTCATAAGGTCTTATAAGAGGCTTCAATGTTTGATAGTATTAAATACTGAAAACGTCAAACAGAAATAGCATAAATAATAGCAAATATCAGGTCTTATTCGTTATTCTGTAAACTAGAAACAAATACACTGAGATTCAAACATCTGATATTTGATGAATTTTAAAATGGTGGTTGTAGAAGGATGGTTGTAATAGGATACTTCGATGATTGAGCATTCGTGGAAGATTGTGACCGTGGAAAAATTAGTTTTCGAATAATATATCTTGAATAATTTTAGTTTGCAAGCAAGTGAAATGCACATCAATCAATATTGTACAAGTGATGTTGAGAATTCCTAACTGCTAACAAAGTTATGTCAAAGAAAGCTGTTTCTGTTTTGTATTATTACTATCCTTATGTATGAGTTGAGAATTGATGACACTCTCAAGAAAGCAAACTGAGTATCGTAGAAATTTTGAGCACATATTACAAAGAGTTATCAAACGCATTTCAATTGAACATCCAGCTCCGAGAACAATACATCAGTCGGTCACAGACTGACAGCTTAGCAAAGATGAACTGCACCGATGTCAGACAATTTCAGATTGATTGAATGTAATTGATGGTTGTCTTATTCTCACAGAACACAACATTCATCAATTCGTAACCGTGGCAATAACGACAGAGAAGTGTTGACATTCTTATTTACTTAATTGAAAAGAAATCACAATTGATGCTCAGTGGTCGAGTAGACTACGATACACCATAAATTCTTCGAACATTTTTTCTTTCTGGTTGAGTACGATATGCTGTGAAACATGATTGGTTAATTTGGTATGTCAACTTGAACTGATGTACATACAGACCAAGTACTACATTTTCGCTTACTTACTGATTGATTGAAAGTTCATTTCTCATACTATAACCACTTTTGACTTATTCACGCGTAATTTTTATTTTCATTACACAGCTTGCTGCAACCACCTATGCCGGTATACAAACTATATCCGCTTGTGAAACATTATTTGTGTAGTAGAAGTTGACTTCTATTTTCAACTCAGCAGGCAGGGCAGGGAAGATAGTGAAAGAAACACTGGATCAAGCATCAATAAAAGCTCCTCGGTTTCTTAAGGCTGCTAGTGCTGCTAGATGTGTAATTCGGTTAGCTCAGAAGCAAAGTTTAATAAATCGTTGTTAACACCGGTAGTTTTGACATGTAGTATGAATGTTTCGCAAATAAGTCATATTAGCATCTTTCAAAAAGGATTGTGTTTTGTTAATATGTGTAAGTCATTTAGTCAGTCAGTTACAACTTGGAGCTTCGTACATGAGTACATAAGTTCAGATTGCCATACCGCATTAGCACAGAGTCGCTACTGTTAGTTCAAATCCAAAAGTGGTAGCGATAGTAGAAGTTTCAGCAGTAATGTAGAATTTTAGGGTTATAAAATATAATTAAAAAAGTATAATTCAGTGAGATGACTTATAAAAGAGAAGGAGAGAGGTGATCGGTAATTCAGAAGATTAGAATTTGAGAGAGACTAAAGAGTGAATGTACCTGCGCCATCGCAAACGATTTCCAGTCATATCGTTCCAGGTCTCTAACCATCGGTTTCTTTCGTCTCGCAGACCCCAACCTGGTAGTTTGTATCTAACAATATGACTCAGTCCACTTCTCACTGACTTCATGGTTGTCTGAAATGTTTTGGTTTTCCCCAGCCGCAGGTTTTCTTTTAACCCACTACTCCTACACCATAAAACATAGCTCGCATTTAAAGCACATTCTGTGATTCTATCATAAAAGTGATAAACCACTATTGATAAGTGTAATCATTAATTATCAAACAACATCAGTTCCTTTTAACAGAATTTATTAATCGAACAATAAGTGATAAAAATCATTTGAGAAGAATTCGCAAACAATCAACGGCGTCGAAGATACAAATACACAAACACCGAAATTACAGATATAATGATCAAAGTCACAATGACTGACACGATAACAATAGCTGCAGTTGCTGAACGTTGAGGTTGAGAAATATTCTGAAAAATGAAATAATATACTCAGTGTTTAACAGTAAATACTCCATTCATTTCACATTGTTGTCAGCATTTGTAAGCGAACGGAATTCAAGAAACCGTAAAATATTTTGCACATTCACAACGACATTACCAAATAAACATTCAGAACATTGACTTCGACAGTAAATATGACTGGAGCACACATTATCCAATAAGCAGACACTTTCTAGATAAACTGAATGCAGGTTCAAGTGTTATCAGTAAATATCTTAGTATAGTTTAAAGGAATAAATATCAAGTCTGCAGTAATAACAAGGGCGATTCTCAAGCCTTAACATATTCCATCAAAAATTTCAATATCCGAAGCCATGATGCTTATTACCTGGACACGTGACTTTATCACATTCAAATAAATCTCACAAGTACACATGTTTCACAAAGACGATGTAACCGTGTGTGTGCTTATCTGCCAGAAATAAAACTCTAAAATATTTTCATTTTGCTGATCGTAGTTTATATCTATCCATTTTTTTCTTGTTTCCAGTGATAACGTGTCACCGGTGGTAGATTTCATAATGCAAACCTTTATAACGCTTTCTGTGATCACGTTGAAATAAATACTTGACAATACTTGTACTTAACTAGCTCGATAGAAAAATTAAATAAATGAAATAAAAATTTCGAAAACCATTTTGTTAAACATAATCAGTACTTACCGTTTTAAAACAGTCGTTTCGTAACCACTCTAGAGTGTGCATATCATGACCGTCGCTACATTTTTCAATAGTTGGGCACCAATAACATTCAACTTTAGGTGTGGTTGAACCAAAGCAATTTTCAGGTGATTGTTGTTTCGAACAAACTTCTGTGGAAACAATACGACAATACAAATAATTTATATGTTATGAATATGTTCATGAGTCTGATAGGGGTTATCCCCGGTAATCTTACTGATCTGTAAGTGACAATTGCAGGGTATTGATATAATTTAGTAAAGGATTCAGAAGGCAGATCTATTTTGTGAAGCAACGCCAAACACATCGAATATTTTCGTGATTTATCACCTAATAGAAATTCACTATAACATTAAATCACTGGAAGAGGAATAGATGTGCTCATCCTAATAACATTCGGGACGAAAGGTTGTTTGACAATCTTACCCAATGTGATCATGTCGACTGTTTGTAAGTGGAGTACTCAAAATCAATGCAGAACATTATCTAATGGTTTTGAATAATCGATAATCAGAATAAATATAACTAAACTGGGTAGAGAATACAAATATCAACTGAGACAGGTGAGAGTTTCCGTGATATTTAGTCAGCCATAACAAATACGATCAATCAAATGATTCTGATATAACTAGAGCTTATAAAATGTAAATTCCATGAAAATCAATTATCTTTTAACATACTTGACATCGGTTGAAGCTCCATTAGTGTTCCAGATTTGACAAAGAGTTCAGGAACTTCTATTGAACCGTATTCTTTGTATACCGCTTTAACCGAACCTGCATAGTAAACAACAAAACATCGTTAGATGTTTGATCTTTGTTTGAGTGTGATTATGGAAATTTATGAGCAAATATACAAAACTGCTTTTTACATAATTTCACAATTTTAATTATATATTCTCTAGATTAGGATTCAGTAATACATTTCAACCAGTATTGGAGAAGGTAAAACACTCTTGTGATAGTGTTTATCATTGGAACATAACATAAAATACCAAACATAATCGAGTTTCGATATCATCGGAAGAACTTGAATGTACTATTTGTCTGCAATTAAACGAATGATTATGGGATCAATCACATTCTGTTGAGTTAGTTGTTTTTTGGACAACTTGATTCCTACATCAGTCAAAGCATCCAAAAGCTTTGTGATCTAGTCAAATTTTGATTCGTGATTAGGTGTAATTTTGAAGCTGACCTCAATAAGTATGATTACATATTTCACGTTGATATTTCCAAATATGATGCTTTGTATGAAATGAACATACGTCTTCCGCAACAATGTGCTCTGTTCACTCTTCATTGTTTAATGAAGTTTATTGTGTGGCAATGAATGTAAAGTGTGAATGGTCATCATAGAAATATAAGTCTAATCATCAGCAACCAACAATCCTTATCAATTAGTAATTTATATCAATTACTATATTAATTTGTAAATTTTTCTGTCTAATGTTATTCTCTAGAATCCATGTAAATATATACGTTTTAATGTATTCTATCACAATCTTAAATTTCAGTTTAATAATTCATAAGCGTAATGTAGATGTGATCAGTTAAAGAAATGAATTCATTTGTTATTCCAATAAAAATTAATTAATTTTTTGCAGCATGCTATTCAACATAAATTTCTTATTTAGTGAATCTATATGTTTTATCGCAAATGATGTATACAGTTTACTTGATCTTGAATATGGAATAACTGAGTTCCAAATGTCTGTAAACTTGTCCCAGCTAATTTGTTGGGCTCTTTTGCGGGAATATCCGGTAAATAGTTATCTGCAGATAGAAGTAGGAATATCACGTAGAAAAGTAATGCCAGTTAACACAAATTAAGATCTCCATCAGTAAACTTGTCTTCCGATCTCGGTCAAGTTGGCACTAACTATCTTCTAGAATGTTTTGGATGACTCAAGCACAAATGTGAATTCGCTGATTGATAAACATAGAGATCACACGTGCACTTTTGATATTTATATGAAGGAGATCATCTTGCCATTCAGAGAAAACAACCAATTCAGACAGCCTAATTGAAGTATATTGTAATTGAAGGGGGTGGAAAACACATAATATTTATCAAGCTTACTTGTTTGACAAAAAATGTAACAGAAAAAACGTTGATGGTAAAATTTCACTAAGAATATAGATAATTCTAAGGCTATTAGTAATGGATCATATGAAACTACATCACTAGGAGTTCAAGACACTGACACATTAGCCAGCCATGATGATCACAGTACATGATGCGATAGCTATTTCTGCTGCAACGGACTAACTGTCCATGACATTTACACTACAAATAGAGACGTTCGTGGCTTTTGGTACCTCTGTCTGTGTTCAAGTATTCATGTTAAAAATATGCAAAACATTATTTTTTTAATAATTAATTTTTTTGCAGCGTTGAAACAGGCAACAGAGGAAAAATATCCATATAACATTGGAAAGTCTATTCAATCTATTGTGTTATCTGATTGTGGGACTAATTTACTTCATCATCAAGTTTGGTCAGAACGCAATTATTTACTCTGTGATCAGAAATTGACCAAAACAAATCATATACCAGCGTTAAACAGTAGACCGATTCAGTCTATCCATCATTCACTTCCAATAACATGTACATATAATTTTTATCAGTTATCGAATACTTTTGCAACACCCAAACATTACTGGCCTATATTTGATGTACCTATCACACTGGAACAATATGAAATGAGATATACAATAGACAAATTTGATTTAAATACAGCTATGGATTATGCAAAGCTAATACCTATGGATATAAATTATGACGAATTATTATCAATCAAACGGCAAAATCAACAGAATCAATTGTCATCTACTTCACAGGTATCATTGTGGTATAACTGGAAATTAATTACAAGCTGATTTCAATGAGTCTATTGCAGCAGTATTCACTGATCTGTTGCTTAGTGATTTTATTTAATTTAATGAAGGAGGATATTTGAATTGAT